CTTTAGGGGTCAAAATTCTCACCTTGTTAAAACATCAGATTGTAGGCGCTCGCGCGAGCACACGCAATTGTCAGCGGTAGCTATAACAGATCATGAGTAAATGTCGATCTTATAGAATCCAGATTTTTAAATGCGCGAGAACACGCGTGGAAATTGCTAAACTCACTCATTGCATGAAAACAAGTCCGGTGACCCCTTTTTTTTATTGTACCAATATGATAATAACGTCGAAAGGAATCATCAGACAAAAAAATAGAAAATTCTACAAAAAGAAATTTGCGATGTGTGAAAATTGCCTTTTTTCTAGATTTTCTGAAATTCCGCCCTGTAGAATTTTTTAAAAATCTTTTTGTATTTTCCTTTCCAAGTGCCAAATGCAATCACTGAAAAAATCATAGGGTCACCGGGTTAGTTTTCGAATTATTTAAGCCACAAGCTAAAAAATGCGTCTGAATAAGCCTCTAAAAGCGTTGCCATGGAAACTGCTAGTGACGAAATGACACCTATTTTTGGATAACCAATAATTATAGAATTCAACCCCGTAAAAGTGTTCAACTGGCCTTGGTCAGTGTTTCTCTTGTATTCTTACAAAGTTACAAACCATCAAAAAGATGAAAACCGGTACGAGCCACCTTAAATCGATGGTTTAACCTATCTACTTTAAGGTTTTTGAAGTCTTTTTAAATTAATTTTATCGGTAAAAGCTTGAAAAACGCAATTTCCGCAACTGTGTCCACCATTGTTGATCGGTTGCCCTGGAAACAGAATTTAAAATCGATGCATTTCCTTGAGATTTCTCGATTCAACGCCCTCCGAATTCCGTTTCCAGGGGTTCCTATCTAATTCGAGTATTTTAAGGCCTGGTTCCTCAGTAAACGCTCCACGCAGTCGATCAATCAATCGTTCGTTTGTTCCCTGAACACATTCAAATTACTTCAGCTTGTTTATCATCGAATAATCATGTCTAAAGGGAATAAATGTGCTGTAAAACAGCGAATTATAAAGAAAAGTGGTAATGGTAAGAAAAAAAAGGCTTTCAAAGGTATCCCAAAGCACAGAAAGATCGCGGAAATTGCAGAGACCTAGATCGTAGATCACTTTTTTTGGTGGGGATGGCGTGGTACGTAAGCGAGCAAATTCCGGAGCCTCGTGCCTCTATTTCTTCGAGAAAGCTATAGGAAAGTGACAATGAAAGTGGATCTGATGACGATATTTCTCATGAAATGCCAGTGGCCGAGGAGTATCGGCTTGTGCACATTGAAAGTCTTCGAGAGTTTGTTGAGAGGGTTCACTTTGTTCAGGCTATGTGAAACTTAAAAATAAAATATGGTTATCTTTTTAATTTTCTTTAGCCTCTATCCGGTTAGTGGAGAATGAATGCGACAGATTTGTCTGAGTAGTAGCGTGTGTGCCAATTGCGATAGCTGTCCGATGAAAGAATTTCTTGCCACCGGATGTCACAATGTTGCCGATAGAGTTCCAAGATCAAGTCAGGGAAAGGATATTAACAGGCGAATAGTATATGCTTCCCATGAAATGGGAGTGGGAAAGGAAGGTATTGCAAAACTTTGCGAAGCTCTCAACATGCCCTTCACAATGTCTAAATTGACTCGGTACAGTCAGGAGGATGTGTTGCTTCAAGCACATGAAGATGTTGTATGCAAAATGCTAGAGAGTAACAGAGAAGAAGCCAGAAAGATTGCTCTTGAGGAGGATGGAGTGGAAAATTCTGACACTGCCATAGGAGAAATACCAGTTAGTTTTGATGGAACTTGGTTCTCTGCCAATCATGAGACTTACCAAAGAGGGCACAACATACGAGGCTGGAGCCTTTAATTTTTAGCTTCCAGGAGTGTAAAACTGACTCAAAATAGTTAATTTTCTTTTCTTTTCATTTCAAAATTGTTGGAGAGTGATATTTTGGCGCTGAATGATGTTATAATCACCTTCAATTGATATTGCATTGGTTAAAGGAGGAGTTTTTCTTTGTGTCAACTTCAACAGCAGTTTTCTCAAAACTGCCCTTTCATGGTAGTTGCTTACTGCCCTCACCATTTTTTCACTTCATTTTATAACCAATTTTGGTGAAATTTGGCACAAGCTATCCTTTAGATGTAAGCTGTGATCCTATGGAGCAAAATTGGATTTAGTTAAATAATTGAGGAGATATTAGATCAACATCCTTATATGGAAGTGTTCGGTTGTCATGGGTGCACCAAAGACCCTATCCCGAATCTGCTCCATAGGGTCACAGTTTAATCCATGGTAGTTGTGCATGAGAAGTTTTCACCATTTTCTATGAATTCTATAGGAAAAAAGTATGGGGGGGCAGACAGCAACCCTCAGTTTATGATATGAAGTTCAGAAGTTAATAATTAACTACGGTTTAATCATTTCATCTCGATTTCAATTTTCTGAATAGATCTTTCTGAAGGGATGCCCTGAGCAAAATTTCATAGTTTTCTATAAGATTGTTTAAGAGTTTTGTTTCTTTAAAGTTACTTGACTACATTTGCAAAAATCTGACTAGATGGCCCCCTTAATGGTGATGTCATCTGTGTATCTGTCATCCAAAAGATCATAAATAAGAACCAAATTAATAACTACCGTACTAATTGGATCCCCAGAGAACTAATAGGGGAGTGCAGTTGAAATGTAATTTCTGTGCTATATTGCGAAAAAATAGATGTTTTTTATCAAGCATCTAGCTTTAAACAAAATCACGAAACTACTGCGAATTACATCTGTTGCTGAACAGCAAAATTTCATGATAATGCATGGTAATATGAGTTGTGCTTGGCAGTTTTCTGATTGAACCAAAATTTTATTTCCGATCAGCGATACCCTTTGTCTTTAGGGGTCAAAATTCTCACCTTGTTACCTAGAACAGCTGGTGTGCTGAATGTAAACTTTACGTTGTTACGGTATTTTCCAAA